TTCCCTGACGCCTCTGCCCTTACCCTCAGAGCTCCCCGAAGGAAATCCATAAGTTCCAGAATAAGTTCTTCCTGCCCTCTGACCCTGATTCCTCCTGCTGCAAGGAACCCCAACTCAAAAATATGTCCCAGTGCTTTTTATAGTCACCCAGCAGCCAGGCCAGACAAGACCCGAATCCCAGGCCCATCCAAACCTCCCCCCCAATCGTGCGGGCTTGGCTTCCCCAGGGTCAGGGCCACTTACTCTCCACAGCATGGACTGCAGCATGGGGGAGAGGGGGGAGAGAAGGGAGGAAGAGAGAAAATTCAGAGCTTTACAATGAGGGCTATGGAACAAGAAGATATGTAGTAAAAGGGATGACTGGAATGTTTTTGCCTCAGCAGCAGGGTCTGGACTCAGCTAACAAGCATCCTCCTGGTAAAAAAGGTGGCCTAGGAAGAACAAAAGACCGAGAGCCCAAACAGCCGCTTTTCAAGGTGTGTGAAGTTGGTCAAATCACTTGCCCTCTCTGGGCCTCAGTAACCTCTGCAAAGGGCTGTCCTGAGGAACAGGTACAATCTAAGATGGAAAAGTACGATAAACTTTACCATCTTTCCTCCTCCCCAACCCAAGTCAACAAGGATGTCAGGAACTAGGTCCTTGACCTTCAATTGAGCCAGATTTCTGGCCTTGGGCTACTGTAGGGTCCTCCTTTGAACATCCTTCTGGGGTACAGAACACCCTTCGTCCTGGGCTCCCGGACTCTGACAACAGCCCAGGCTGAGAAGCAGAGATGCTACTGCCGCCTTCAGCACCACCTCCGACTGCGTGCGCTCAGGTCCTCTGCCAACAGCTTGCGACTTCCCACAATCCCAGTAAGTCCACCCTTCCTCGGCCCCTTCCACAGTAGAGGGGGCTCCAGATCCACCTACCTATCCCTCTCCACACTTGGCCTCACACCCACAAACTGCCTTGAAAACCAGCTGGGCTCTCTCCATTGGGCCCATTACTCCTGCTCACCTTAGTCATGGGCAGCTCAGGACTGTCAGGTCATCCCTCACCTACTAGACTCCTGTCACTTAATACGATCCCGACTCCCATTCCTCCCAGACCTTCTATGGGCCCTGGTACTCATCAGCAAAACCTCTACATCTTCAACCTCCAAACATTCCCCAAACCTTGTTCCAACTACAGCTGGGCACTTCCTTGAAAGTACTATTTCCCTTGCAGCCCCCCAACCCCCACCAAGTGGCGACTATTTCCCACACCCATCCTCCTTGGTCTTAAGAGAGGTCCTCCTTGCTCCTAAATGCCATTGTCATTCGGATCACTGTCCCTCAATTGCCCCTAAAAATTCCCAGCTTTGCAGCTCATGGCAAACTATTCCACCAACTAGCCCTACTTGTTTCACTTACTTAGAGCTCCACCCAGAACCCCAGGTCAGTCCTCCCAGGTTCTAGCCACTGGCCATCGCAGAGATCTCTCCCACAGGGCTCTGTTACAGTTCCTGGTGATTCCTTATCACCCAGCCGCCAATCTACCTTTACCTAAGTAGTCTGCCTTTCCTCCTGGTGCCATGTTTGAGCTTCCTATACTTCAGAGGCACCAGATTCTGTCTTCTTTTTCCTTCTCACGGTCCTCACTGCAGTAAGTGTCCCTTTCATCTCTGGAGCATCACTTTGTCTCTCTTTAATCCGACAGCAGATTAACACATCAAACATCTTACAAAGCCCTCCCTTGACTCCACATTTCCCTCCAGCTGTAGCCTTCTCTCTCCCGTTAGAGCCAACTCCACGAAGGAGTTGTGCACACACACTGGCTCCAACTCCTCTCCCATTTCTTCCTGTGGGTGCTCCCTATCACTCTGCCCACGCTGCTCTGTCAGGGTCAGTGACCACGGCCATGTTACATATCCATGGGCAATTATGACTGACGTCCAGAAGCATCTGACCATCCGACACTGTTCTGGAAACACTTCCATCCC